CACTAGTCACGAAGATTGGAAGTATTTGATGAACAATATTCATGAATGTCGCGAGACCCATCCAATAGAAAAGTAGAAAAGAGTAAATGAATGAACCAGATCATAAAGTAGTGATGTGAAATTTGCAACGATTGATATCTACTTGCTTGCTTGCTATGGTGCTAGATTCATGGCATATATATTGATTTTTTTTTATCTCTATTTGTTCATTTACCCTTATTTGTATTTTCAACTTATGGTGGATATGAATAAATGTCCAAGTTGTATGATAACTCGTTACTAAAATTTGGTTCTCAATTGTGTATTGAGTGTCTCATTGTTCAGTGTCCATCTCCAATGGTACCAAAAAAAGGTTGTTCTATGATCAGAAGCTCTCCGAATCTGAAGAAAAAAGTACGATCCCAAATTTATCATAAACCCCAAATTTAATTAAAATGTTTTTATAGAATTAAAACAAATATATTCAATATAAGATCTATATATCACACTCATTAAAACTAGGCTTTCAACATTCGGTATAATACAAACATATCCGCACATAAAATGAAATATATGTACATGCATTTTGTTATGGAGTAGGGCTATTGTCTCGCACTACTTTCCTTTGTCGTCTTATATTACCCTTTCTTACGAAAGGTACCATGTAACTGTGTTTATTAACATTTTAATTCATCGTAAGATGGGTTATGTATGTTTCCTACTACCTAGGCCGTCTGTTAATTAGTCCTCCAATCCAAGCATGTCAAAACATTGGATTTTGATGGTGATGTCGACACTTTGAATATTGTCAACAACTTGCTACTTGCTAGTGAGGGACCGATGAAGACATTTTTCCATCATTAATAATATCTCTAGAATTGCCTTGGCCTGCCTCTTCTAAGTTGACATGGTCTCTGTTCTTTTAACCTCTAATTGAAGGGATAGGTAACAACGGGCTGAAAACAAATGAATTGAAGACACACAAAAACAGAATTCAGGAGTATCCGAGTATGCAATGATTTGGATAGAATGAAATAATGAAATCATGAACCTGACATATCCTTATCCGAGACAGCACTTGACCTCGTCCTACATATACTCTTGTGCTAAAAGTCATACCAGTAGTTAGATAAATAGATTCAAGACAGTAGCTTTAGTAGTTGGCTCCGATCTCTGGTTTGTTTCTTAAGTGTCTCTGCGCGTTTTTCTGATGTCTGATCTGGACTTCATTATTGTGATGACGGTGGGTAAATTTTTGATAAGAGAAAGATGGGATTGACTGGGTTGGTTTGTTTTGATTGCCAAGCAGGCAGGCCATGTTCTGTACTCTTGTAGTTTAATGGAGAAGATGCCCTGCTGCACTGGCACTGGCAGGCTGCTGCTATTTAATTTCCATTGACGACATCGAGATAGCTAGCGGCCAGCCATTGAATGAATTCTTTTTGAGTTTTTGCATTTGCCATTGCATTGATTAGACCTGGTGAACGAACGAACGCTTGTTGCCGGTTCCGTGCCGTACGCGGAATAATTGAAACAAGGAGAGAAAGATAAAAGATTCTCTCTTATATGTGGCTGGCCGGCACCGGCTGGCCAGTTGGAGTACTTGAGCTTTTTCTCAACCAAGAGAACCTAATTGGGCTCGAGGTGAGATTACAATTAAGCCCAACGAAAGTGGACTAACTCACTCTTGGGCCCGTGGGCGTATCCGTAACAAAACACATGACCAATCCATGCAAATTGCAATAGGGAGGCTTCATGTCAAATTCGGTTATTGGGTTCACAACACAATTGTGAGAACGTATCGTGGCAGTAGATCCGTAAGAAAACAAGACCTATCCATGCATAATTTTGCAACAGAGGCTTCGCGTAAACAAAAACGATCATCTCTGTGGGGGAAAAAAACAAAAAACAAAAACGATCATCCAAAATCAAAACTGAACCTGATTAGAGATGAAAATTTTGACCCACCCGTCGGGTATTATTCAACACGACTCATGATAGAGTGGGTATCAGGCAAGTGTGGAGCATAGTATGTGAAATTGTGCTGAAATCGTAAAGGAGACAAGACGTAACGTGGTCCTTCCTCACCAGAGTGGTGAGGCTTACGTCCACGAGAAGATTGAGTTTTTGTATTATTGCTCTTGACGGCAGGCACATGGCCGAGTACATGTATTTATACCCTATGTTACTGTCTTCTAGGGTTACATGTTTGACGTGGGAATTATGAGAGTCCATGCACCATGAGGAGACCAAGTGAGCACAAGACATGGGCTCTACTTCAGCTGGTGCAGCTCGGCCCAACATAGTATGAGTATCTACTATTAACGCACATTGGCCTGCTTTTTAGTCTATTCTATCTCAATTTCTTACCATATCTATTTATATTTTTCCTATTTTGATTTGTCTTCAACTAGTTAGGCTTAATCTTTCAACTAATCAGACTCAATTACTCATTCTATTATCACTATTTTCATTCATAAAATATTTTCCCTTCATTTTATCGTAAAAAGTTAAAAAACGGTGTGTGTCTTTTTTTCCCAAATAAAATACAAAAGTAGATCGACCCGCCCCGATCAATACCCATGCGTGTATTACTAACCCCGACCCGTGATTTTTACGGGATAGGTATAGATATTGAAATACCCGCCCATCCACCGTTTGCCATCACTGGCTGCAATGGAGGCCATGTTCGATCATAAGAATAACAAAATGCTAAACATCGGCCAAATTACTCGACACTCTGACATATCCCAATTTAATTTGCCCAAAATTTGAAATCTCTTGTCTTGTCGTAGCCACTCACTGATCACGTTGCTGATGAACTTTTGATCGAGTTTCTTTCGAAACGTTTTCTTCTTTGACAATGATAATAAAACGTTGATGGTGGTTAAAATACTTAACATATCTCAAAATTTTCAAAAATTTGGAATCTGCCACCGTAGGATTTCACAACTAATTAATGATTCTTCTGAATAGGCCGAGATTCTTTTGGAACGTCTCGATAACTATACTAATCGAATGTTAACTTGTGTATGAGTTACATGACGGGTTCCAAATGGGCCCAAGACTTCCTCTTTCGTTGTAAGAAGTAAGAACATGCATTCATTAGTATTTCACTGTAATTTGGTGTTCTTCACTTCATCAATAGATTTCGGCAAGGCACTCAAAAAAAGATAATAACTAGGTACAGTCGTCATCGCCACTTGAGCATACATATAAATTAGGGTTATAGGTATAATATGCCCCTCTACTATGACGTTTTATCAAACATGCCCCTATACTATTTTTTACATCAAACATGCCCCTGTACTTTGGAAAATCTATCAAACATGCCCTTCAGTTGAAATTTCCATTGAAAAAATCATCAATCATGGTTGAACCGAGATTTAGACGACCTGCCATCGATAAATGGGAGGGGAAATGTCAATTTTGACCCTTGTTTTATTTCTCTAGGTCTCATCAAAGTGAAATTATTAGAATTATTTGGCTATAAAAAAAGAACAAAAAAAAACTCTAAAGTGAAATTATTATGGATATTTTAGATATTTGGGTCGCCCAAACCAAAGTTCGGTCTTGGTTAACGGTTTTTTTATGAAAATTTTAACAAAATGCATGTTTGATAAGTTTTCCAAAGTACAAGGGCATGTTTGATGTAAAAAATAGTAGAGGGACATGTTTGATAAAACATCATAGTAGAGAGGCATATTATACATATAACCCTATAAATTAACTAATGGATTTGGATGAGAATACAAAACTGTCGATCAACAATAATATATAGTACCATTGGATCCCTCCCGCCCGGCCGCAAAACAAACGCTTGGGTTGGGGAACGAATTAATATTGTTTTGTCTCACTGTGATGTTGGCTAGCGATCGAGTATCCAACGTACGGTGATGGTGAATATATGACCTATTCTGAGTAAGAAAATAATATTTAGAATTAATTATTATTTTGGACATGATATTATATATGCTTAATATTAAATATTAAAATATATGTATTAATTTTCTATATCATATACAACAAATAATTTAATTAAAAGCAATAAATTAACGATTGTGATTCGTGAAAACATATGCACCAAACTGATTGCAGTATCTTAGAGTTGAGATTTTATGATTTAGATAATTAAGGGTTGTGATTCATAGAAACAACATAAACTAAGATCTTATTTTTTGCTCCGCTAGTTAAACAAACGGAATAATGAGAGGATGCACATTTAATTGACTTAACTTACATAGTACCACGTATCCTAGATTCACTTTAATTATATCCTTCTCCCATTTGTTAAAGTTTAATGACATATGATGTAATTCTTCCTACTTTATACTAAAAATTTATTTTCCAGTTTGTTAAAATACACCCCTTAACAGAATTCTCAGACCAATCGTTATACCCACACATTCGATTACTCTCTTCATACCTCCTCAAAACTCGTTGAAAGCTACTTCTGGAACGTCTTCGCTTTTAGTAATGATAATGAAACGTTCGTTGGTTAAATTACTTGATAGATCCCAAATTCTGAAGACTTAGCTTAAACTATTTTATTGTTTAAACATGTTACATATATAATCCCTCACTAAACTTGAATTGGATTACGAGCGCGTATACACATTTGGGTTTCTGTTCAGAGTCTGCCTTTGTAACGTTGTTCTTTACCATATTGGATTAGATTTAGGCCGTTTGGAACAATACTATGTATACTTTTTATATCCCTTTGTACTCTATAATCTCCTCAAGTATAATGAAACTAACTTTCTCGTGTCCGTGAACTAACTAATTAATCTACAATATATATTCTTTACTTTTTTGCTTTATTGATTATCCCGACCCGTTCTTAACACTATCTAGTCTTTCGGGGGTCCTATATCATCTTCTTTCACTTCAATGTAAATGCACTCTTTGTCATCACCTTCATTTAAGCCCTGAAAGGGGCTAAAAAGGATAAAATAACAACAACATGAATAACATATTTATTGGACAGCGAGATCGATGCATATTGTGTTGTCTCACTTCCATGTTGGGAAGCGATCGAGCATCCAGCGTGCGGTGATGATTGATGAATATATAAATCTTCCCTAATCCCCATGCCTTTGAGTCACCTGAGTTTGATTATAGTGCTAATCCTCCTGAGCTTGCCCGACACTCACATATAAATTAACTAGCCAGTTTATATAGGTAGTAGCATCTGAAACAGCTAGCGATGGGAATCAAGGCGGTATCCTTCCTCCTCTTGGCCTTTGTAATTTTCGCTTTTGCAGAGTCCTCCAAACCTTTGGATGCAGCTTTACACGACAACAATTCACATATGATAGCCACCGCCACCGCCACCACCAGGAAGCTGCTTCTTTCGCCAGCTGGTAAGTTCCCTTCAAGAACCTCTCTCTCTCTCTCTCTCTCTCTCTCTCTCTCTCTCTCTCTAATTGTTAAGTTACTGGAGTGAAATCGATGATAATTGACGGATATCAAGGGTGCTTTGAATGCTTATGAATTAGGGGTGTTAGTTCGGTTCGGGTTTGGTTACCCGAACAAAAAACTCGAAATCGAAAACCACTAAAACCGAACCCGATAAGGACTTTCAGGTTCCGGTTATCCGAAAACCGAAAATTCCTTGTCGGGTTCGGTTCGGTTAAAGCAAATCCGAAAACCCGAATGCTTAAGAATACGGGCTGAGTTCTTTGCATTGGAGGTTTTTAGACGAAACCCGAAAAACCGAATATGAAATCGAAAAACCCGAAACGAACCCGAAAATGTATATAATCGGGTCGATTTCCGGTAAACCCGAAAAACCGAACCCGAATGGACACCCCTACTTATGATAATCATCTAGGGATACATGCAATTAAAAGAAGGGGGAAATGTTCATTAACTCTTTGCATGCTCGCATCGATTGGGGTTATTATTTATAACGATCGATTTAGTCAATGAATTTGTTGACCTTATGTTACTATGGTGAACTGAGTCGTCCATAATAAGAGTACTGTCACCACTTAGATTCATAAAAAAAACTACATTGCCACCACTAATTACGCAATCAACGATGACTTTTCTTAATCTCATTTTACGTTGAGCTTAAAGACCGACTTTGATGAACATTAAAGAATCTGTAGTTTTAAATCTCTAATTTTATGAGCACAGGAACACAAGTGCGACCAACGTCCTACCAAGAATGCGGGACCTACGGTTATTGTTGTCTTTACGATCCGGTTTACAACTATTGTCCCAAGTGCTGCCGCAGACCACCGACGGAGGATACTTCGTCGCCGGAGATTAACGGAACCACTGCAGGTAGGTTTGTTCTAGGGAGTGTTTGGTTGGATGTGTTTGTAGATGGATGCTTTTTCTATTCCATTTTCACATTTTTTAATATTTCCTTATGTTGTTATGCATTTCTTTCACAGCAAAGAAATCAGATAAGCAAGAGACGGCTCCGTCCAGCGCGACAGACAAACCAACCGAGCCAAAAAATTAAAGAAAGGAATACCATAGTAGTATGTACGTACCCTGTCATACAACAAATAAACAGTGGTTACAAAACAGACTATGCTGGTTAAGTTGAGTTTTTTTTTTTCTTCCTCCAATACTTATCGATCGTGCGGGAAAAAGAAATTCAAGGATGTCATTATGATTAGTCCTTGTGATCTCAATGTAATCTATTTCGTATTGACGTGTTGTGTGTTTTCTTACGTTTGAAATTTCAAATTCTGAATATTTATTATGCGAGTCCCTATATCTTATAGAATATATTGTTGCTTGATATATGCTTCATTCTTTTTGAGCTTTTATATATTACATATTTAATTTGCCCAAAAACTAAAAAAAGAAGGAAGGAGAAAAGTGAAGCAAAATAAAGGAGGAGTGACCATAAAAACGGAGGAGAAAAGGGAGACCTAGCAAGGACATGAAAGTATTTTCAACATATCACTTATAACATCAAATATTTAAAATTTCAAATAATTTATTAATCTTTTTTTTTTCAAAAGATAATTGGAATAACTAATACCACAAAAATAACACAAGGTCACATATATTGTGGACCGAAGCCAGTTACATATAATCAAAATACTGAACATTCTCTTAGTACACCTATATGCAAATCAAGGTTCCAAACCACGAATATAAGCAAATCAAACAGTAGAAGGATTCTTATACTATTTATCTACTTCAATATTTTAATAGACATTTCTTAGTAGAATCATTGGACATGCCAATGTATTTAGCACTGTAAATAAATCGAATCGAATTAGTTTTTTATTTATTTATTTTTTTTGTTGAGGATGATATATATTAAACTTGATAAATGAAACAGTACTGTGAAACAAAGAAAGAAAGGAAGAAATCGAAGTGAAAGAAAAAGGACAGAGACATTTAATAGTTGGTTCGATTCCTCAACTCCTTTTGATTTAATTTAGGCTCAACTCATTAATAAACGAGCAGAGTTCAAACTCAACTTGCTTATTAAAAGCTTCTTATAAAATAAAACTTGCTTATTTAAAGTTGACTTGTGTTTGACGCGAACACACCTCATTTATGAAATTAACAAGGATACTTTTGAAAAAAAAAGAAAAAGAAAATAATGAGGCATTTCAGAAAAATCTAAGAGTAGCTATTTCAAAATGACATGTTTATGGGTTTTTAAAATCCCCATGACCCCTAAATTTCTTATTCGAGACTCATTTCCCAGATGAGAGATTTCGACAAAATGCATGAAATTGTGATAAATCTCACGAACCAACGACACCCAACCCGTTATTATTAATTACACGAACCCTCAGTAGTCTTTGAATGTCCATTGAGCTTCTTCCGTTCAATGAATCTCATCACTTCCATGTACTTAGACTCCAAAGATTCATGCCATCACATCCATTCTAGAATCTAAACATGCCACCACCTTCCAATTCTCGGTGCTCGGGCGGTAGCGCGCCCATTCTCGTTCAAGTTTCCAAACTAACGCATGCCATTGCCACCACCCTTCCAACTTCCCATTCGAAGTCAGTATTGCCTATGTTTGACCCAATTTGACAAGCTGCACGGATGAGAAGCTGTTATGAAAATATAAGGTTATTTTACTATATTTTAATTTTATTTAAGAAAATATAATTTTATTTTATTTTATAATTTTAAAAATAAAAAAATTATAAAATCATGTTATTTAATATATAAAAAAATCTAACAAGATCCATTTTATTTATAATTTTTATTCATATTTTATATTATAAATTATTTGTAGTACATAATCTCTAATATTAAAAAGCACTTCCTATAGTTTTTCAGTCAAACCTCAACTGCTTTTTTTGCAAAAATATTTTTCTAAAAGTTTCAGCCAAAAAACTACTTGTGCAAAAGCTACAGCAGAGCCAAACTAGCACATTGACTCTACATGTTACAACCGCAAGCTGCGAAAAGGTCTTTAATTTCTTGACTATGAAGTTAATAAGGATGCTATTTAGAATTGATTGAGTGACCAATTATGAATGTTTGTTTAGCGGTGTGTAATAAAAAAAATAAAAAACTTGATTCGCAATATAAGCAACACATATATTTTACAAGCATTTGAGAATATGAAAAATCATTATGGTTCTCTGTAAAACATAATGAAATTGTGAACCTTATGAATCGTACTTTTATTTCTTTATTTAATTTTCTATATACTTATTTTCATTGGCTAAAACACCTATTTAAGAATTCTTGATCTGCTTCCATATATGGCCTTTTTATAATGGCAACTGAATTGTATATGCAGAACTCCGTATTAAATAATAACCACCAAAATTGACAAACTCTCTATAAATAATTAAATATTCATGTTCACATCGAAAATTGTATGTGGACAACACAAAATTGTCAAATAACAACAATATTATTGGAGAGCAATCTATCTATCTATATGTATATGGATTCCACCGCAAAGTAAACACTTGGAAATAATATTGTCTCACTTTGATGTTGTGATGCGATCGAGCATCCAACGTACGGCGATGAATGAATGTATATATATATACCTTAGCTTCTATACCTCTGAGTCAGTTAAGTTTTCCTCAACTTCTTGTCCAGCCAATTAAGGAGTATACGAAACAACAATGGAAATCAAGACTATATTTTCCTTTCTCTTGGCTCTTGTAATTTGTGTTTCAGTATCCCTTCAGTCTTTGGATGCCGCTCTATACGAGAACAATCAACATATGATCACCATCACTGCCGCCACTAGAAAGCTGCTTATTGCGTCAGGTAAGTTCCCTTCAAGATTTTCTCTCTCTCTCTCTCTCTCTCTCTAATCGAGTTATTAATTGAAACTAAATAATTTGTAAGATTGTTGATGGGTATCAAAGCGTTGAACATTTGTGATTATGAATTTGAATCATGATAACACCAATGTTTCTTTGATAATGCATGTTAACACCAATACCAACAATTAATTGATTTAGATATAAGGTATGATGCACTGAAGTGTACAACTTTGTGCATGTATAGATGTGGTTTGGATTGTCATTTTACATATTTATGTAAAGTTTATGACATACTGTTCATTAATTCTTACACCTTTCACAATGACTCGTGTTATCACGATTTATTAACGAATTTTGTTGACCTTGAGTCTAACACCGTCACCTGTATCTAGTCAATGACTTTGTTAATCTGATCTATCTCGTGCTCAACTGATTATTTTTTAAATTTAATGGTTAAAAGAAATGTGAAATAAAAGAGTTGGGTTATTGTCGGTATTGTAATTATTGACTCATATCACTATTTGTCAAATAATACAGGCAGTTCGACTGTAAAAATCTCTTATTGTAAGCCAAATTGACATGTGATTTTTAGTGGTACGAAACGGTTGAACCATGATTAACCAAGATTTCATCACAGAATATCTTACCGTTCAATTTTCCGATACAACCTCCAAGATAATTTCGCAAACTTGATTCATATATAGTTCTCAATTTCTTTCACCGAACTTGGACGCAGGAGCATACTACTCGAGTCCACCATGTGCGGCCGGATATTGTTGTTGTGGTTACACCTGTAAGAAGTGCTGTAAGGATACGGCGGATAGCTCGTCGGCGATTAACGGAACCACAGGTAGATTTCGTTTAGGGCTTGTTTGGTTAGATATATTTACAGATGAATTTTTTTTCATTGTATCATTATCACCTTTTATTTCCTTTTATTTTATGTTGGTATTCCTTTCACAGCGACGATCAAATCGGATAAGCAGGAGACGAAGGCAGGGTCAATAAATTAAATAAGGAGGAATTTCATGAATAAAAAAGAATGATTATCATCCAATACGACGTAATTACAAAATAACTTTCTTATAAAGTTCAAAGTTCCTTCTCTTTGGGTTGTTTTTTTCTGAAAAATGTACCAAAAAAGTATCACAAGGACGTTGTAATAACTTGTTCTTGTTCTTGTGATATTATATTATATTATGTCTTCTAATGCAATTGATGATCACCATGTACTGGATTTTGTATTGATATGATATGTGTGTTTTGTTGTCGTTTGAAGCTCCAAGTTCTGAATGGTGTATTTTATATGAATATATAATATCATTGTTTGGTTTTTTTGGGGAGTGGGAATGAGATGCATGTATGTATTATGAATGCACTTTGTGTTACTGTTAAGCACATGCATTTCTTTTTGAACTTTTATTCCATCTTTACCCAGGAACAAAAAAAAAAAGAGAAAAGGGAGACTTAAGGAAAGTATTCCAATCAAAACTCTATTTTCTTATGCAATCTAATATATTCCTACCAAGGGGTTGTCTCTTGCTTTGTGTTCCACCATATATACCGGGGGCTTGAATCGGAAAACATCTGCCTTGTTTCTATCAAGAACTAGATCCCAATAACTCGAGTTGTTGGAGAGGTTCAATCGTGGATCATATAACACAAGTCCATAACACTAACACGCCCCCTCAAACGAAAGTCACTCACAAGGGATTGAAGTTTGCACAGGTCTGAAGACAAGAATACCATGTGCTTAACAAATGGGGGTCACCGGGAATCGAACACAAAACCTCTCGGTCACAGAAGGCTCTGATACCATGTCAAGAACCAGTTGATCCCAATAACTCGAGTTATTGGGAGCAACTGGTTCTTGATTTTTAATTTTGCTCTTTGTTCTTTACTTAATAATAATACGAGTCGCCATTATAAAAAAACATATCCCTACCAAATGATTATATAACTATGTATTATTTTATGAAAATTTTCTTCTCTCTAAAAATGATTTTCGTTGATCACGTTTTATCTTATGCTTAATTAATTATAATTCAATTTAAAGGTTATAACCCGTTGAAATAAAAGATCGACATCGATGAAAATTAAAGAATTCTGATTTCATGTTGAGATGTATTTTTTGTTGTAATAAAATATGTGATGTTGTCGGTGTTGTAGTTACTTATTCATATGTAGTTTCCATTTTTTTTTTTTTTACTGAACTTGGACACAGGAAGCCAAGTGCGACCAACAAGAAGCAAGCAATGTGGTATCCATGGTTATTGTTGTGATTACAAAACTTATCCTCACTTATGTCTCCGCTGTTGCCGGTATAGACAAACTGTGGATAGTACGTCGACGATTAATGGAACCAATGGTAGGTTGCTTTTAATTAGGGTGTGTTTGATTCGATATATTTAGTAATGGATGCTTTCTGTTACATTACATCTTCAGCTTTTAATGTTTCTTTATGCTGTTATGTATTCCTTTCACAGTGAAGAAATCTGCTAAGCAAGAGAAGGCGGTTGACAAAACAACAGAGTCAAGAAATTAAATAAGGAGCATCATGAATGATTAACAATAAACCGTGATTACAAAATAAGCTATACTGGTTAAGTTTAAAGCTCTTGTCTTTCGAGTTGGTTTTTTTCCTCATATATGTATGGTGCGAAGAAAGGTTCTCGATGATGTTATGATAACTAGTCCTTGTGAAATAATATTATGTCTCAATTTTAAGTTACCTCAATATACTATATTTTCTATATATTGATGTGATGTGTGTTTTGGTATCTTTTGAAGCTTTCAAATTTTAGTAATACAGATATATCTGACAGAATCCATTGTTGTTTGATATAATTATGAAATAATTGTATTGAGAATACGTGTTGTGTTAAATAATAAATATGCATAATTGTTTTTGAGATTTTATTCCATATTTACCCAAGAACACAAATGAGAAGGAGGAAATGGAGACGTAGGCTAGCAAGGGTAAAAATGTATTTTCAAACTGAAATGTCTTTTTTACTAAAATTTCAAACACTTTATAATCTACATTTCTTATAACACGCGTAATTAGGATACACAATTTTCTAATACATTTATACGAGAATCAAGAATTCCAGATGACCCTAAGTGTAGCTAACCGAATATGGAAGGTTACGAGAGAAAGATCGATAATAATAAATAAATAGCGATCAAAATTTTTAAAAGTGACAAGGTGACAAAGGAAAACATCAAAATGATGACTAGATAGATAGGTCTTTATAGCCAAAGTGACCATAACATGCATCGAACCAAAGATGAATAAGACAACTTATAATTAACTAACCAGAAACAACAAACAATATCAAATATTTTGAGTACAGGGATATTGTTTGGTGATTGCCATCAATGGATCAATTAGGATAAGCTTCGATGATGGAGGACAAGCTTGGGATCTTGATGATTTTATATCGAGGAAACCCGCCTTCTTCCAAAATCTTCTTCCATTCAGCCTCGGTTCTCTCTTTACCAGAAGTCTGCACCATCATGAGTAAATCCACCAACAGGCCTGCATCATCAAAAGGACTCTGCCCCTCTGGATCAATCACCATATCCACGATAATCAACTTTCCTGTCTTCTTCGGGATTGCCTTCTTGCAGTTCTTTAGGATTCTCACGCAGTCCTCGTCGCTCCAGTTATGCAGTATCCACTACAAAACATAAACAAAACGAAATGTATACATGATTTTTAGATAATTCAACCTTTTTATGTTTGTAGCATTGTTGTCCATAAGTGTTATAAACAAATTAGTCTCGAGTTAGAAAGAAATTCATGTATAAATTTTAAACCACTTTTTTACATGTCAACTTATAAACTTGAATTTTACACCGTCATATGATCATGTGCTTAAACAAATGATTAATATAGGATCGTGAGTATTTGAACACATGATCTGAAAGAAAAGTCAATTTTGATAACATATGCTATATAAACCAACGAATAATAATAACCCAAATTATTGAGAAAGTTAGCATGTATAAATCCGAATCACTTCCTTAACAAATCAGAGTTATGAAATTAGTTAGTTTAGTGACTTTAGTCGTTACCTTCATCATGATAGCATCCGCAGCTGGAACGGACTCGAACATGTCCCCACCGACGTGCGTCACCCCATCGCACGGCGGCGCCGTCGCCACCACGTGCGGCAAATCGAAATTAATCCCTCTCACGTGGGGAAACACCTTCACGATCTCCCCTACGTTCTCCCCGATCCCGCCCGCCACGTCAACCAGCGACCCGATCGACCCGAACCCATGCCCGTCGTAATCCAGCACGGACATCGCGGGCGTCATCATCTTCGTCGCCGACGCCATCCCTTCGTTGAACAATCTATTAAACTCCGGCTCGCCGGACGCGAACTCGAAGATCCCGCGGCCGTGGGCCCTCTCGAACGCGTTCCCGCCTCCCCTCACGCAGTCCCCGAGGTAATGCCACGGTGTCACGGACAGAGGGTGGTTGTCGTACAGCAACACCGGGGCCAGGCTGCTCAGCTCCTCGCCCGAGGATCCACGCACCAACCACTTGGAGACACGTGTCAGGCCGTAGCGCGGCTCCTGGTGGTGGTCGGATGACGTGGTGAAGATGTTTTTGCGGACGAGGAGGCGCATGATGCGGACGAGGGTGGAGGCGTCGGCTGGGGAAGATGATGATGATTGGTCGATGGCGGAGAGTAGCTGGGACAGAGTGGCGGAGCCGCCGTGGGAGTGCATGATGTCGGGGAGGCGGAGGTCGACGGCGGCTTTGAGGGACATGGAGTCGGCGTAGGCCAGCATGTGTTGTAATAGCTCCGCCTGCCCGGTAAGAGACTCCATGTCGTCTTTCATGTTTTCCTGTACGTACTCTTTTTATTTATGTGTTTTTTTCGCGGTGAACTCGTTATAGTTCTACACATAATCAATTTATAGAAAGTGGTGCAATGATATATGCGGACTTGCATCGAGCATTTGGGTGCGCAATGGGAAAAGGAGCATGCATGTTTGGTTGCTGTCAAAAACGGTGGCGGCAGCCGGAGGCGGAAGGAGATTAATTTATCGTTACCGCTTTTGATCTGTTGCCGTTCTCTGGTCTACGTTAATAAAAAATAGATACTGTGATGGACTGATGGCGCCGGACATGGAATAGTTGAAAGAAGGAAAGATTTCTCTAATATGGCATGCTGGGTTTGAAACTTAATTGGAGCATGTAGCAGTCGGTTTAGTACAACATTTGGACTGGCCAAAGTTCACATAGCCTAGCCTGGTGGTAAGGGAGATGGATTGGTGACTATGACCTATTTATCGAAGGTGGTGACCGTGGAGGGTCTTCCTGTTATTAAAAAAAAAACACATTTGGAATGTGATTTCATTTACTGAACGATGAGAAATCAATTGGGCTTGGTGGTTTTCATTAGCAATCTTCTTTATTTACTATTGTTTCAACTTTCACCCAGAAAAAATCTCTTACCTTGCATAAATTCTACTTCCGTAATAAAAAAAAAAGTACAAAATCTATTTTCAGCTAATATGTGAAACTTTGTGTGTAGATCCATTGTTTTGTAGATGGAGGCAAAAGATTTTTTTAAAAAAATGACATTGTCTCCTTTCATATGCACTTAGATTATCCTACACCATACAGGTTGTGTTAACAAACTTGGAATGGGGTTGAATCTTAGATTGTGTGATTGGCTATTTTCAATGAATATAGATTTTGTTACACGATCGCCAACAGTCTTGCTCAGATCACACCGGAAGTTCAATCTCAAATTTCTTTGATTTATTGTTTTTTTCTTTATATCTTTGGGTTTTTCTTGTTTTTCTTTGTCAGTTTTGGACTTCGGCTGTTGTTTGCATTATAAATAGTTAGCCAGCTTAGAGTAATAATAAACATATGCTCTCGGATTACCCCCAAATCGAATTTGTTTTTTTGTTTTTTTCTCTAATTTCTAATTCTTCTAATTAAGTTCCTTCCTATGAATAGTTAGGTGGATAAATCCGCATAACGAATTCTTGCACGGTTAATAGCATCAAAACATCTTCAATCCGGAACCATATGCTTTGTAAGGTTATGGTAACATAAATGTTACGTTTCAAAACTTCAAATTAAGCAAAGTAATATATAAATTATATTATAGAAAAAGACCATGATTCCAAGGAGACAGCAACCCAGCCTGGAAAACAAGGACAAGAAAGCAATGTGCTCAACATTAGTCGATCCTTCTATTTGGTTAGTCGTCGCTGCATGTCACACTACTGTTTATTATTTTATATTTGTAGTAAATAATTGTCCATCTAGCATAATAACAAAAAAAGCGACCACGACGTATTATCACGACCAATTAAACAAATTTTAACGAAATAGAAATAATGCATGAGAGTTTGTCTTTTTTTGTATACACACCATGGATATATATGGACTCACATATTTATCCTTTTATAACCATCGTCATCACAATTTGCTTGCTAATGTCGACGACGACGGCGACCCCATCGCCCGCGCAATTTCCCTGAGCACGAACTTCTGAATCTTTCCCGTCGACGTCTTCGGCAGCTCATCCTTAAACACGACCGTTTTGGGCACCATGTAACGCGGCAGCGCCGCCCTGCAGTACTCAATTATGTCCTTCTCCGTCGTCATTGGCATCCTTTTTGATTCATGATCATACTCCTTCTTCAAGCTCACAAACGCACACGGCGTCTCCCCCCAGAATTCATCGGGTCGGGCCACCACCGCCGCCTCATTCACCGCCGGGTGCCCGTACAGCACGGACTCCACCTCCACGCTGCTCAGATTCTCCCCGCCGCTGATGATGACGTCCTTCGACCTGTCCTTTATCTCCAAATACCCGTCCGCATGCATCACCGCCACGTCACCCGTGTAAAACCACCCGTCCCCTTTCATGCACGCCGCCGTCGCCGCCGGGTCCTTTAAGTACCCGAGCATCACCGATGGGCCTCGCATGACCACTTCCCCGACCGCCAACCCGTCAGGTTCGACCCGTGATCCGGTACCCGGGTCCAAAACCGCCACCTCGGTCATGGACACGGATCGAACCCCTTGCCTCGACTTCAGCCTGGCCCGCTCCACGGCGGGAAACTGATTCCATTCCTTCTTCCACGCACACGAGACCACCACTCCGGCAGTCTCGGTCAGCCCGTAACCGTGGCTGACCACGAAGCCAAGTGACTCGGCCCGATGGAGAATCGAGGCAGGTGGGGGAGCCCCTGCGGTCAAGACTTGAACCGGGCGGGTCAGCAGCTCTTGTTTGTTTTCTGGGTTTGTGGATGAGTTGGTTGTTAGCATGTTGAGAACCACAGGCGCACCACACATGTGGGTGACCCCATGGTTCTCGATCAGCGTGAAGATCGTGGTTGCGGTAAATTTGCGTAGGCAGATGTTGGTCCCACCAACCGCAGCCATCCCCCACGTGTAGGACCACCCGTTCGCGTGGAACATGGGAAGGGTCCACAGGTAGACCGGACGAGTCGGGACAGACCAGTTGACCAGCGAGTCGAGCGCCATCAGAAAAATGCCACTGTGGCAGTGGACCACACCTTTGGGAGCCGAGGTGGTCCCGGATGTATAATTCAAGACCATCGGGTCCGATTCACTAACCGGTCGAACCCACTCAAACCCGGGGTCACCCTTGGTTACCAAATCTTCGTACGTACCGATAAAATGAACGGCAGCAGGTAATACGTCTGCCACGTCATCGTCGTTGACCAGGACGAGACGAGGCGGCGGCTTGTCGTTAGGGAACATAGAGAGGGCTTCGAGGGCTAGAGACGCCGACCCGGCGTCTACAAAGAGGAGCTTGGACTCGCCGTGACGGAGAATTAATGATACGGTTCTGGCGTCGAGACGGGAGTTGACGGTGTTAAGCACAGCGCCGGCCATGGGGACGGCGAAGTGGAGCTCGTACATAGCGGGGGTGTTGGGGGAGAGGACGGAAACGACGTCGCCGCGTCGGATGGCGAGGGAGGAAATGGAGGAAGCGAGCTGGAGGCAGCGGCGGCGGGTTTGGGACCATGTGTAGGTGGTGGAGTTGTAGATGACGGAAGGGGAGTCGCCGTAGACGGTGGCCGCGCGCTCCAAGAACGTGAGCGGCGTTAGTGGGGAGGAGTTTGGGGGGCTTGGCTTCAGTTGCTCCATTTTTGTTGAGAAACTGCAAAGATGGCGCGGAGAAGTAGCAGTGGGATGAGTTTCTACTTTCTATATATTTAGCTGCCGGCCACACATTTGACGTTAGTCAATCGTTAAATGGGGAACCGTCCCTCTGCATCTGACGTTTTATGGCAATTATTAAAGAATGACGAGTCTTTTTTTTTTTATCGAAAATAAAAGTCTTTATGTTCAGTTATTCTGCCTCTCCTCTTTGATTCTTTCTTTCTCTACCTATCCATTTCACTTGATCGGTATAAAATAGTGATAACATTTTTTATATTAGTCATCTATTTTAAAATAAATTTGTATCATAAAAACATCAAAATTATGGATGCGATAAATTTTAATTATCTTTTACTTTTAGATCCAACCACCCATATTGACTTAAAAATGGTCATATCTACCTATTTTATGTTGTTAAATTGGAAAATTCACTAATACGTTAATATCCACGAGGAGTATAGTCCCACTCAATTTTGAAATAAATGTAAAATTCATATAAATTTAAGAAATAGACTAGTCTCTAAGACCTTAACTTCCTCCCTAATTATCACCATTCAAAGTTAGCTTACTCATTTAGATTTCTGACTCCGCCACTCACTGGTTAAATATTTTATTTTATTTTTAGTTTTTTTTATTACCCAGGAACCTCAGCCCCACGTGCCACTTTGTGACAGAGGGTCCTACTAAACCTGGGGGCCACCTGCAATCAATTTCGACATCAACGGGGCTTCGCCCCCAACAGCCTTGTACCTCCAGGAACACCAACGGGCCTCGCTTGGATTCGAACCTGGGATTTGCAACTCCCAAACCTTCATTGTCGCAGCAGCTTTACCGTTAGGCTATCTCACCTTTGGTAATATTTTATTTTTGTTTAACAACGTTAATACACCACTATTCTATCGGTTGAACTAAATTGTAAGACTATTATAGTTTCACTAACTTGCAAGGTTGTCAACCCGCGGGCTGACCCGAACCCGAACGAGCTGGTGGGTCAAGGGTTAATGGGTCACCCGTTTTAGCCCGAAAATGTGAAAAGTGTCATTATATTGTACTTATCCTGATAAATTATATAAAATCTCATCTAACATATGAGTTATAATATTAAATATTACACCAAAATAACATGTCGTACTTAGGTCCAACATATAGTGAAAATTCATACATACTTATATAAATCAATATTCAAATTTTCAACTTTGGATTCCAAAAATTGAGTTAGGTGAAAAGAAAAATATGCGCATTTCGCAAACCAAAGAAAAAAATGACACAATTTGACCTCTAACCCGATACCTTGTAGCGGTCGACCCGACGGGTGCGTGCGACCCGTTTTTCTCACCAAATCAAAGTAAAAGTGGGTCGACCCGCGAGTTGACAACCTTGCTAACTTGTTTAGAACACGTCAATTACAATTTCACAAACCATAATTGTGACTGACTTATCAATTCATAAAAAACGTGGCAGGTCTTTGTAGTAGCCAATTGTGCCCGAAATTAGGCTCAACCGCGGCCCGTTACCATTAAGATGGACCCGAAACAACTAAAAAATGGCAGGCCTCGGAAATTTTCGGCCCAATTCGGATCTCAAGAGATGAAAGTCTCCACCTTCGCAGCGCATAGCCTTTTGCAGAGCTCTGCTTCTTAGCCATTGAGCTCCTAAAACCCTGCCAATGGGTTCTCTCCACAGAGCTTCGAAAACCCTCAAATCTCTCAGACATCAACTTTTGCTACAAGCAACTCAGCAATTCGATTCATCTTCGCGCCTCTCAGGTTCAAGTGATTACCGTTTGTTGCTGGCAAGAGCGCTATGCTCCCACCCCCGCCAAAACGCCAAAGAAGCCGTGGATTTGACCCAGTACCCGCCGGAGAGAATTCGAAACTTCTCCATTATCGCCCACGTCGACCATGGCAAGTCGACGCTCGCTGACCGTTTGTTGGAGCTCACCGGCACCATCAAAAGAGGCCATGGCCAGCCTCAGTATCTCGATAAATTACAGGTTCGTTCCCGCATTTCGTCGGTGGCCTAGCTTCAGGCTTTCTCTTAGCATCTCTTAGGTTATTGAAAATTTGGAAACTTTGGAATTGTAGATGATGAAAACTTGAATTGGCTTAGGTAGAGAGAGAAAGGGGGATCACGGTGAAAGCTCAGACAGCGACGATGTTCCACAAGTACAATCTCCAAGGCTCGAGCTTGGATGGTTCAAATGAGCCGCAGCCGTTTCTTCTGAATTTAATTGACACGCCTGGTCATGTGGATTTTAGCTATGAAGTTTCGAGATCATTAGCAGCTTGCCAAGGCGCCCTTTTGGTGGTTGATGCAGCCCAAGGTGTGCAGGCACAGACAGTGGCTAACTTCTATCTCGCATTTGAATCTAACCTCACAATTATCCCTGTCATTAACAAGATAGACCAGCCAACAGCTGATCCTGATCGAATTAAAGATCAACTGAAGTCGATGTTTGATCTTGAGCCGTCTGATTGTCTTCTAACCTCGGCCAAAACAGGGCAGGGGCTTGAACATGTCTTGCCAGCCGTCATTGAAAGGATACCTCCTCCACCTGGGGAAGGGAGTGGCCTGTTGCGCATGCTCTTGTTGGATTCGTATTATGATGAGTACAAGGGAGTGATCTGCCATGTGGCGGTTGTAGATGGGATGTTGAGGAAGGGGGATAAGATATCGGCTGCTGCCACGGGTCAAACTTATGATGTTCTGGATGTAGGTTTCATGCATCCTGAACTCACTCAAACTGGGGTGCTTCTAACTGGACAAGTGGGGTATGTTGTGACTGGAATGAGGTCTACTAAGGAAGCACGTATTGGAGACACTTTGTTTCACGCCAAAACCATTGTAAAGCCTCTTCCTGGTATGTAAAATCTACTATCCTTACGGCTTGGTTGCCTATATTTATTTATAGAATATTCTTCGTATTGGCATCTTTGGAAAAAAGGATCCTGGACCCTTAAAGGTCGATGTTTGTTTGTTTGTGTCTGATTAGTTTATGCCGTACATGATGTTTCCGAGAGTTAAACCTTATTTCCAGAATCTTTGTGCTATGTGGTGAACAGCTCTTGAATGGTTAACTAATGACAATGACATAAGGGTTGAAGATTGGAAGCGTATGGTGAATGATTCTGGGATGTTGTATATGGTTATATTAGGCTGGTGAATAAGGAGAATCACCGACCTTTTCCGTGGCATGTATTGCTTTACAACTCTACATTGACGTAAAGCTTTGCAATTTGCTTAATACTTAATAACTGCTAGGATGCATGTGTCATTTGTTTACCATAGTGAACACTTACTGAAATCTTGAAATTAACACTTTAGTGAAATTCTGTTCCGAGCTCTCTCTATCAAGTGTCATTAGAAACATAGTGTAGGTACACATCCCTTTTTGGTTTCTGCTCTAGATGTTTTTGTTTCTTTTTGTTACTCTTTTCATGTTTCTTTAAAATGTAGGCTTCAAGGCTGCAAGACACATGGTGTTCTCTGGTCTCTTTCCGGCTGATGGATCTGACTTTGAGGCACTCAACCATGCAATAGAGAGGCTGACATGTAACGATGCCAGTGTCTCTGTTACTAAAGAGAGTAGCACTGCTCTTGGTCTGGGTTTTAGGTGTGGCTTCAAAATCATCCTTTTGTTTGACCTTGAATTTACTTAATTCAGTACGTAGTTACATTTTTCAGTGGCACTTTGTCGACAGATGTGGGTTTTTGGGTTTACTTCACATGGATGTTTTTCATCAGCGACTTGAACAAGTAACTTTTCATCTTTCTTTGTCACATTTGGTAGCTGTGTTATGGTATGTGTTACTGGATTTATTGACAATGCTTTTGTTCTTTTATGATTCATTACTTCACAGGAATATGGAACTCATATTATTTCCACGGTCCCAACTGTTCCATATATCTTCGAATATTCTGATGGAAGGTATTACTTGTGATCATTATGATTTGAGATTTGTGCCTCAAAGTTTATCCATCCAATAATTTGTGTTGTTGCCTTTACTAGCAAAGTGGAAGTTCAAAACCCTGCTGCTTTGCCCTCAAACTCAAAGCAGCGAGTTACAGCTAGTTGGGAACCTACGGTGTTAGCCACTATTATTATCCCCAGTGAGTAAGCCCCCTCCACTCTTGCTTCAGCAGATTGTAAGCTCACATATTATAATTCATCCATGCAGTTCCTCATAGGGCTTCACTTTACCATACAGGTATGTAGGCCCGGTCATTACCTTGTGCTCGGAAAGAAGAGGGCAGCAGTTGGAGTACTCATTCATTGATAGGTAATCTATGTTGAATGTCTGTTCCATCGATCAATTGGTTAGTTTGATCAAGGACAAGATATCTTTGTTTTACATGGCAAGTCATATTTTCAGTTCTTGATTCAATCGATCATGTTTGGTGCAGCCAACGTGCCTTTATGAAATACCGCTTGCCTTTGAGAGAAATAGTTGTTGATTTCTACAATGAATTGAAGAGCATAACATCAGGATATGCGTCATTCGACTACGAAGACTCAGAGTATGTATCGATTCTCTCTCCTTTCACCTTTAGAGGTTTACGTGCAAGCTGGTCATTATTTATGGAAAAGCTCAAACAAACTTGGCTCTCAGATGAATATAACTGATAGGTTAACCTCAGCTGCTATTGGGTTAAAAATAGTTGTAATTGGCCTTTGCCGAATGACTATGCTTTGTGTACTCTTCTTTAGACATCTCCTGTCTGGTTCTGGTAGGAGTATTTTACTTCTCTTTACATTACATCAAATCGAGATGGATTAGACAAGTGGTATGTTCAATGAACAGTTGGGGAAAGCATTTGTTTTTAGAAGATTGATTGATGTGTGTCATTAACAGATACCAACAAGCCGATTTGGTGAAACTCGATATTCTCCTAAATGGCCAAGCAGTTGATGCCATGGCAACAATTGTGCACAGCTTGAAGGCACAACGTATGGGCCGTGAACTGGTGGATAAGTTGAAGAAATTCATAGATAGGTGATGTACTCTTTTGAACCCAAGTTGTCCATCCCTTTATTCACCTCTTTTTTTATGTTCCTTTTCTGACTATATTGTATGGTTTTAATTTGTGCAGGCAAATGTTCGAGATAATCATACAAGCAGCAATTGGGTCAAAGGTTGTTGCTAGAGAGACGTAAGTTAATTAGACGACTCTTGTGAAGAGATATTATTCCGTATAGGAGCAATGCAATATCTTATCAATGAGAGAATGTTGCCTTGGCACAGGATCTCAGCTATGAGGAAGAATGTTCTAGCAAAGTGTTATGGTGGGGACATTACTCGGAAGAGGAAGCTACTGGAAAAGCAGAAGGAAGGAAAGAAGAGAATGAAGCGAGTTGGGTCAGTTGACATACCTCAAGAGGCTTTCCATCAACTATTGAAGGTGTCATAGGGAAAAGCAAGCAAGAACGAGATCCTCTCCTGAAATATTTCCAGCTGGTAAGTCCATCAAGGTCGATATGTCTTGGGGTTTGCTAGGACAATCCTCGAAGTGGATACTAGCATGCTAATAGTTTTTCATACGCGATCGACAGGAAGGAAAGCAGGCCTGCAATGCATTTGTGTGCTGAGAATGATTACCGGAGAATGTTACAGCAGAAGCGAAATAGCCCCTGAACTTGTATGGGAGTTAGTTTGTCTGGTTTTGCGTAAGGAAGTGTCACTTGTGAGAGTTGGCTATGATCCAGAGCGAGGTGCTGGGGACATGTATAAGCGTCAAGTACTTCAAAACTTGGGCACAGTTGGTCATAAATAGTGTTGGAAAAATCAAACACATACACAGATGAAATGTGCAGTTGATAGCTTGTATTATTCATCTCTGCGCCGGGTAATTTTCTTTAAGATGAATGCCAGGAATTCGTGATCTATGGTATTGCGAAGCAAACTTTTTCAAGCATTGTCGATCACGAATTGTTTCCTCTGCTTGTGGATGAAGTAAGCTAGCAGACATAATTCCTTGTATCGATTATCAATTGAGGGCTCGTCTGTAATTGTGTTCCGACTGGGGAATACGTGGTGTTCCCGAGTTCCACATATCGGGACACTTGACACCACTTCACCGACGTCTTCTTCCAAAATTCCAAGATAACGAAGGTGCTAAACATAAGGATGTGCGCGTTTGGGTCCTGCCTAGCGCATAACATGTTTAGACAACGTCTAGATATGCGTTTGAAGTAAATAAACATTTTTTTAACAAAAATAACCATTTTATAGCACTTTGGTAATTAGTTTCAAATGATTTATAATTTAAGTAGTCTTTAACTGAATCGAACCAGAAATAAAATCGAGTAAAATAATTTCCTTAAAAATTAACTGTTAAGAGGTTTAAACGGTTCTGTTCTCCGGCGAGAAAACTTGCGTTGAAATAAACTGATTGCACCTTTGACTTCTTTGGGCAACAATCACTAAACACGGTTTACACCTCTTCAAACACAGTTCGAACGAGGGTGATCGATGTTTACACGACTCTCGAGACAAATCTACATTAAGTTACTCCTACTCCTATGGAGGTTCAGTGAGAGCTCCAGATCTACTACTACGGATAAAATTGCAGAGGAAAGGATAAAGGGATAAAATTTGACATTGTGTTGTCTGGTGTGAATTTGGCGAACCCCTTCTATGACAACTCTTCCTCCTATTTATAGGCTTGAGGTGATAACCGTCGTAGAAAACTGTCTGGAGAGTAACTTCCAAAAAGAACCGCTTCCCTTCTTTCCCGGACGTGGCTGACGTGTCCTTGAACGTGGAGTAATTGACAGTTTCTCAATCAAACCGTCGGCTCTCCCTTTTGGAAATGACGTCTTGTTACTTGCCCTTTCCTTTACCATGGCTATTCCAGATCTCGTGGCGAGGCGGCTTGTCGCGACAACGCTACGAGGTGGTTTACCAAAACTTGACGCGACGAGGCTTGTCGCGACGAGGCGGTCTACCAAACTCTACGCGAGGAGGCTTGGCGCTTAGACTTAGTAGAGGCTTGGCGGACTTGCGACGAGGTGGCCTGGCGGACTCGCGAAGTGGCCTGACGCGAGGAGGCTTGGCGCTTGAACTTAGTTTATTTTGTGACCTTCTCCCCACATATCTTGTAGACTCGCGATGTGTTTAAACAAGGAGGTTTGTCGCGACAAGGTGGTCTACCAACTTGGCGCGAGGAGGCTTGACGCGAGGAGGCTTGTCGCGATGAGGCACCATACTTA